ACCTGTGACCTATCAAAGCTTACCGTCCTCTGTGAACGGCGTCCATCTGAACGCGCCGCTCGAGCGTCTCTTGGTCACCTCTAAGGTGATGAACTGTGAGAAATGTGGATTTGCATCTACAGACCCTGTGGCGCTCCAGAAGCACATGATCGAACACGGCACTAGGTTTTACTGTTTTTATTGCAACGCTGTGTCCTTCAGCGAGGCGGAGCTGAACGAGCACTTGAAACAGCACACGGCTAAGTACCCGTTCAAATGCCCCCACTGTGGACAGGGCTACATGAGGAGGTTGTGTCTGGTGAAGCACATTGACCGTTTGCATAGTAACGGTACAAATCATGCACCTGTGAAGCCCGGCGCCACCAAAGCTCCTCCGGTCACGGTCTCCAGTGCCTTAACAAGTGCGCCTACTGCTGATCCACTGCTGTCACCGCCTCCTCGGCCTGTTATACGTGTTGCTGTGCCCAGCCAAACTGCACCCCCTGCCAGACTGGGGAAAACACTTGATGTAAACGTAGCCAACACCACTAATGGGAACACTGAACGCGTCTCTCACTTGAACGGACTCTTTCAGCCCAATAGGGCCCTCACAGTGTCTCTACCGGAGGAGGTGAACATTCCTGCCGGTTGCTTGGTTGAGCTTGTCGAGGTCAAAACTGTTAACGGGACGAAGGAGCTAAAACTGCGGTTTGTCTCGCAACAAGAAAACGAATCGGTGATCAAGAACACAAAACCAACGGCAAATCTGAACTCCGGCCCGGAGAAGTCCCTGTCGTCTACGCTACTTCATCCGAATACAGCAAGGTCGGTGAGCGCTGGCATGTGCCCAGGCAGCAGGAAACCGAATGAGGCAAAGGCAAAGATGAACGTCGCTGTAAGGATTCCCAACAGCTCAACCAACGTGTCAAATAAAGAGAAGGTCACGGTAAAGAGGCCTTCCACAGAAATAATCAACCTGGATTGTGACGCAGTCGTCCCAAACAAAGTTCCCAAAACTATCGTCACTCCTGTGCGGGAAGCAAATAGCGGGATTCGAGTTACGCAAGCGGCACCTGCGAACATTGTCTCTTCGTCTTCAAGCGTCATATCAGGCAGAGTCCCTATCAGGTTGAGTGTCCCTCTGCATCCAGGCAGCGTGGGTGCAAAGGTTCCCCAGAGGGCTGTAGATGAGAGGAACAATATGACCGTGGACCTCTCTAAGTGTGTTCCACCCAGGAGACTGTCTGACACCAACAATGTCCAGAAAGGGTCAAATGTCCAGAAAGGGACAGCGTCTGCCAAACTAGGAGCCAAAGAAGTTTGCATCAGGAGCAACGCTGCTTCTAAAGAAGACAAAGATGTGGTGTGTTTGGATCAGCAAAGCACACCAGCTTCTAAGTCCTTAAGGTCTATCGTTCCTCAAGCCGTCCAAGTCAGACCTCCTGCCGTCTCAGTCAGTAATGACAACCTTGCAAATCAGAAGTTTCCAATATCGAAAAGTCTGATGAAACCGTTATCAGTAAAACCCTCCGTCCTATCCAGTCACACAAACACTAAAATATCCCCCTGTATCCAGGAGGTCAGATGTAAAAGTGTAGCAAAAAATGGAGGGGTCTCAGAGCCTCGGAGCTTTCCAGTCATCTCCTCTGTCTTTTCATTAAGCGAGCAGCCAGAAGGGGGCAAAGGTCCGATTCAGCCGCTGGTGATGGCTCTTAGAGGGATAGTGATGGATAAAAAACACAGCACCAGTCAAGATCAGAGTAGAAATGGCAAAGAGGAGACACGTAAGGAACCAGCATCAGGCCAGAGCGTTCAGCCGGTCGCTAAAAATGAGGCCTTCACCTGTGAAGCGTCGCTTACACAGAAGGCCTCCCAGTGCTTAAAAGTGGAAGAGCAAGATTACCAGCAGGTACCACCCGTCGCACAAATCGACATTCACATCAAGAAGGAAGAAGGTGGAACCAAAACAGACATTAAGAAATGCAGCTTTAGTCCTGCTTTAAAGTCTTCCACATGTGAACGCTCTGCACCTGCTTCACCTGCAGAGACGCCCAACGCTGTAGACCCCCTACGGCAGACGGACAAAAGCAAGGAGGACCATTCCTCCAGGTTCTTGACCATCTCTCTGAAAAGGGTTCAGGTCGGCGTGTGGAAAAAAAGCAAGAAAGGACTCAAGCTTGGAACATCCAGGTGCAAGCCCCAGCATCCCCCGGGCGGCCTTGACGACTGCACGGTCATTTACCCCATGCCTCTGAAGGAGGACCAGCCGGTAAAGCGGCCTGGTCCAAACCAGCCTGTGGTGGTTCTTAATCACCCCAAGCCCCGGACTTGTGTTCAGAGAACAAGGGCAGACTCTATTTCAGACGCGGGAGCCTCCGAGGCGACTCCAAAGTGCCAAATTTTAAAAATGCGGCTAAGCAAAGGGATCGGACAGAGCTACGAAGTGATGGGATGCACTGTCAGAGACTTCCCCTGAATGTAGAGCTCCATCTGTGGACAGGACATTTATCATACAAGTAGTGTTATCTTTAAAGTTATAAGGCAGTTATTTTCATAATGCAAAAACAAAATCAATGTTGTATATGTATTACTCTGAATATTTAAGTGCAATGCTGGTTGATGCTTTCATGCCCAGGAGTTGGACTGTGTGCCACTGCAGAACCCATGAAATTCCACAAAGTTTAAGTGCTGTTTAAGAAACCAGAAGGTCAGTTTAAAGTGTTATTGCTTGTATTTTATTTTAAACTGTCGTTTCCGTCAAACGGTCATGCAGCTGCATGAAAACTGTTACATTACAGGTGTTCATGTTGCCTTTTACACATAAACCTTTTAGGCTACAAGTATGAAATTCAGCGGCAATTAAACACTTTAAATGTTGATTGCAAATATTCCGATACAGAGTCAAGTTATTTGTCTTAAACATATTTTTCATTCACATTGTGCGAAGATGACGTGTTCAGGCATTCCTTGAAAACCTTTTGTTTGTCAGAAGCTCTTCAGTCACTGCTGAGTTTGTCAAATGAAAAGCATCAACGTCCGTACGGTGTGAGATGGGAAATTTAACCTTCGGCTCTCCTGTGTGTTTGCTTTAATGCGTGTTTGGTTTCTTTCATCATCGCTGTGTACTTGAACTTGTCTGAAGAGTGATCGGAAATGGTAAAAGTTGGGTTTTATGAGTCAAGAGTTTACCTCTGGGTCTGAACGTAGCCAGAAAGTGGATGAAAGCTTCATGACTGGAGGGAGAAAAGTTAAACTGAACAGTAAGGTCAGAGAAAGGTGTCAACGGAAATAAACCGAACAGCTGATTTATTTAAGTCTAGTTTCATGCTCTAAAACAGCAGCTCAAAAGTCTCAGTCACAGTGCATTATTTATCTGACAATGTGTGAAGTACTGTACAGTAAAAGCGCTTTATTTTGGAAAGAAACTTAACATGTACTCAACACTTTTTAAAAAAAAGTTTTTTCAATTTCCCTCCTAAGTTGAACCTCTGCTTTTAGATTTCACATTTAACCTAATTGAAAAAGCAGATTAACTGTATGAAAACAAAAATAAACCCACAGATTCATTTTTAAACATTTTTTCCTGTGTTGATGATGCTAAATGTTATTCTTGAACACCCCTAAGCTGTTGTATATATTTTAGGTTTGTGCTTGCATAATATTTTGACCCGATTTCTTCTTCTGTTTCTCTTCTTATGGCAGCATCATCACATCTGTGTATATCTGTTTATTATTGTATAATCCTTTCTAATAAGGTGCTAGACCTATGATTACATTCATAGCTTTTAGTTGCCTACATACATTACAATTAATATACATTTTCTATTCCATTTGTTTTGGATGACATTTTGTAAATATACCTAAATATACATGTCATATAAATATATATATATACATATATATAAATACATATATATGTATAAAAGAAAACATGGTGTTCATACTTGACAGAGAATGGCTGCCAACTCCTATTGTTTTTTTTACGCTGCAGTATCTGAAGCTGCTGTGCAGTCACGGTCATAAATTATTTCAAAGGGTCGGATCATTTTACCCTGCCTTTTACGTTGGTCCTCATTTGTGCTAGAATTGGTCGTCTTGTAGTCCAAACGTGTTTTTTGTTTTTAACACATGCTCATCGTTCATTGTCATGGTGATTCCATGCTTTTATAAAAATTGTGTAATTCCACTTTTTTTCTAATAAAACCTGGGGAAATATGTCGAATGTGTTTTGTGGTGTTTCGCTTTCTTTTAAGAGGTGATTACCTCTACTACCCTTATTCTCAGAAATGACATATATTATTTACCTAATGCAAAAAAATGTAAAAGGACCTTTTTAGGGTGTGGCACTATTTTGGCCCTTCCTTCTCACAATTCTTTCTTCAAATACCAGACACAACCTCTTGAAATCTGAGAGTAAAACCTGTTTGAGGAGCTCCTGCAGTAAATGTTCATACAAGACCCCATCCGGTGGAACTCGCCTTAAAACAAAGTAAACAGAAAAAACTGAAAACTTACTGCAGCAGCTGTGCCAAACTCTTCTAACCGCCAAACTAGATCAATTAAAAAAATCTAAAATAGGCATCAGAATACATTCTGAAATGGTTTGAGAAATTTGAAAAATAAATCTCACATAATGCTGATTTGAGAAGTAATATGTGCTATTTGAAAAATGTATTAGTCATACAGGGAGTGGTTAGAGCAGTGCACTTACACTCCAAGAAGGTTGCAAGTACCTGGTTCGATGCTCACAGCCTCCGCTCTGGGTCCCTCAGCAAGAATTTCTCCATTGTGAGATTATCATTAAACACTTTTAAGTTACACATCCTGTAGGACTCTGCTGTTTAGATGGTTCCACTTTCCTTTAGATCTTTTTGTACACATTTAGAAAGAGGTCGGTACTGTAGCCTCGTCTAGACATTTACCCTATTTTTTTGAATTCCTTTAAATCTAGTCTGATATTGTCAGCTGATAAAAACAACTATAAAAGATGCTTTGGGAAACTTTTATTCATACTTTCTCCATTGATATTTACTCCATTTACAAAAGAGAAATATTTGTGCTTTTATAAATATGCATAAATGGAATAAGAAAGGCCTCCTGTTGAATATCAAGCCTTCTACAACAAATGGAGACCCAGGCTGGAACCCCTTTCTGCTATCTTTCACAAAGCTTCCTCAATAAAGGCAACTTCTGAATAGCAACTTTGTTCTCATGCAATTCTTTTCAAAATGCAAAAAAAAAAATCACAATGATTATGACTTCATTTAGACCAGCAGATAGTCCCCCCCTCTATAACTTGTTTATACAGGAGGGTTTATGAAATGTATTAATCTTAAACTGTATTTATAATAATTTTGCATAAATCAGTTATGCGTGATTGTGATCTAGAGATGGAAAAATGCATCCAGACTGATAAAAATCACCCTTTAATTCAACATAAAATCATACATACTTTAAGGTCATCGTATTAGTAGAGTCATAAATGCTGCAACAGAAGCTAATCCCTGCTTTTATTTATCATTATTATTTATACCCCACCTTAAATAATGTGTGCAATAATCTTTTTAGCATTTTCAAATGATGATGGGTCTCTTTCTTCTTTGCTGAGAGGGGCAGACTTTACTTTAGGAGCTGGACAACATCCCTTTTGGTAACTGGACATGTCAGCACACAGTTCTCTGGGTATTTACTTCCTGTCATGTTTCTCCCACTGATGAGTGTTATTGGAAAAATGGAGTGGAACTTGATGATGTCTGCTACAGAGTCAAACATCTGAGGAAAAACAGGGTGTGAGGAGCAGTAACTATGAAGCTTTGACCTGTACGTCTATAAATGTTCTTTATTTGCATAACTAGACTTACATCATTTGAACGCTGACCTGTTCCCAGTGCGTACTTCCTGGTGGCTTCAATAAAACGGATTTTTACATTATAGACTTTCTTCTCGTGATACACAACCAATACCAGCGGTTCGATGTTGGTGTTAATGGAGCAGTCTCGGACTAGGAATGCCCCATCCTGTTGTCAGAGATAAGAAAATACAAGTTTCATTAAATACAAAGATAGAGCTGTTCCTTTGCAACCTGTGGGTTACCTGTGTGCTGCTGAAATTTGAGAAAAATGATGCATGATTTAATTTACACCACCTCTATATGACATATGATAGATTTTAGACTTGAAAAGGCAATCAATATGACACTCTTTATGATATGCCATGCCTCACATTTAGTCTTTAATGTTATTCATTGAGATTTTATTTAATAGACCAGTACATACAGGATTTTCTAAGTAGTTCACAAATGATAAACTGAAAAGTGTGATTTTATTAGCTCCATTGTAGTGGATTTTACTTCATAAAATCTAGTACAAACATTCCTCTTCAGAAATCACCAATTTTGCAAATAACTGATTTATTGCAAGCAGAAATCCAACTTTCCAATGAAGCCCTACAGCACAAACCTGCTTTAATTCAGGCCTAGTTGTATGCATAGTGCTTTTCTGTGGGTTGTCCTGCAGGTGGTTTAAAATACAACACACATAAATTATGTAAATAAAAAAAAAAACAACCTGCTTTAGTGGTTTGAAGCAGCCATGTCTCCAACGACTTTACACTTTGCTTTAACGCCTTTTTTACCAGCAGATGGCGCCTCAGAATCAAATGTAAAACCTAAAACCTGAAACCTTATAACCTGTGCAAAAACACAATAGCATTTTAAACATAATGCCAACAAACTTGAGGATTGCAGGCATAATTTTTTTGCCTCTGTAAAGCCTTTATTACATAAAAAATTAGGTAAAAGTTTACCTGCCAGATTTAGATTAAGGCTTTTTTATGTATTAGGACAGTAATACTGATAATAATAGAAAGTCTCAGCATTAATTTGGCAAAAATGTTAGCTTGTCGATGTGAAAAGTTGGTATACTATATATATAGAGCATAAAACCTGCGTCTGTAGCTGCAACACAACACCAAAAATGTTTTTGGGGGTTTGTGGTTGTGACGCAACAAAATGCATTAATTAAAGAGCCATGATATTGTTGTAGCTTGTTTCATGATGAGGTACCTTGTTCACCAGGTGTAAGGCGTGCTCAGCGTCTGTGCGATTACAAGGCCCAATATACCAGTCCTCCTCGCAGTATGTCTGCAGTATTTAGAGATAATTTAATACTTATGTTATCAGCTGTTATTTACTGGAGGACACAATCCATACAATCTATACGGACAGGCTTACATTAGGTCTGCTCATTGGAACAAAATCATTTTGATCGATGTCTTCTTTAGTTTGAGGCCACTCGTGATGGCGTCTCGATGGCACCCTTTCTTTAAATAGATATAAAGTGTTATTTATTTAAACTGATTGTACTCATGATGATTAAGGTTTTTTACATACTCACCTAAATGTTGATGTAACCTAATAAAGACAGAAAACTATTTAGATGTAAGGATTCAGAATAAGATAATTGTACTAATGAGCCTGAGAATCATTTCACACCTGTTCTCCAAGTCATGAGTCTCCAAATCCAAGGAATGCCTCAGCATGGCAGGCTGTGGGCCTAAGGAGTTTTTCAGCAGAATTAAAGTCAGGATATTATTATTATCAACTTATTAATTACACTCATGACTTCTTTATGTTTTTTTTCAAGCCTTACTGTTTGCATGTGAGCTGAATTCTGCCTGGGAACATAAAAAAAGACAAGTTATGCATGGAAAAAAACTGAAATCTAAGTAGGTCAAATTTTCTTAAAATAAGTGCATTTCTCTTTTGCATTGAGAAGTGAGACTCGTATCCAATTGAATAAGACAAGTTACATTTAAAATAAGAAAAAAGCAAGTAAACCTTCATGTGCACAATATCTATTTATGTTATTTTAAGGCAATACATCCATTTTAAGAAATTTGTACTCATTTTTAGATAATTTTTGCAGTTTGGTATATTCTTGAGCTACAGTAGATTTCTGCTGTGGGAGTCAAAGGCAACTCATTCATTTAGTCTATTCATTTCTTTGAATGTTGGAAGATTTTGACGTTTTTGTTAGCAGTTTTAACTTTAACTGAACAAATGTTATTATTAAAACCCCTGATATGCGTGTGAATGTATTTGAGGTAAAAGTAACTATTGGTCAAAGATAATAAATGAATGAATGAATAAATAAATAAATAGCTAAATGAAAAAAAAATAGATAAATAAATGAATAAATGAATGAATAAATAAAGGCTGCATTATCCTCCCCTCCAAAAAACAAAAGTCAACAGGAATAATAACATTGGGATAATATTAATTGGCTTTAACCTTTTATAGGGCAAGTTACTGTTTTTGTTCACTTGCCTTACAAATGGAGTCCCCCGTCCCTCAGTGAGGTCTAGAAGCAAAAGATCTATATCCAGCCATTCAGCAAAGATCCTGCTACATGGCTGTACATCTTTTTTGGCATTTGAACAATTAGATGAGCCCTTGAATGATATATTACTCGCTGTAAATTAAGTTGAAAAAAAAAAAGCCATAAAAATTTGAAAAGTTAATTGAAAATTTAAAAAATAAAGTTAAAAAGTTAATAAGCCTAGTTAACAATTATATTTTGGTTTATAAACAAATGTAAGTGCCAGTATCAGCATTAATGCCTCTAGGGATATGTTATAACAAAAAGAAAAAATGTTTGTTTCACTTTTAGAATGTTTTTCATGAATTTCTTATAGAAGCTCTTTTGTTTTTTCTTTTCTTAATATATTTGGGCAAGTTGGCTTTTAAATTTATTACATTGACTTAATTATTAATATTATTAATTATTTCCATCAAAATATCCATATTTTTTTTAATGTTACAAAGGTAATAAGGTCTTGTCCTGGATTCCAATAACACTATTGGCTGGAAATTTTGATTTTCAAAGTATTTCACTAAGTTCCCTATAAAAGGTTAAAAATGCCCTAAAAGCCTGACGAGGGAGTTTGGCTACTTCTGCCCAATGCATTACAATGCTAGTTGTACAAATATGACTGACTTACCTTTTCAGTGTTTCTCACTTGTCTACTGAAACCAAACAGCAGAGGACATGGGGAAGAGTTACTCTACAGCCCAAGGTGGGATTTCACCAACCAACAGATGGCGACACTTTCCAATCATCAGAAAATGTGACTGACAGAAGCAGAGACTGATCACATAAGGTGTTGATCATGTAGAGAAACTTTACTCACTCAGTCCTGCTGGGCCCATTTAAAACCAGCACAGCCAGGTTGTTGGATACATCCAAGGTAGAAGGTGGATGTGGAGAAGTTCTGCAGAAAACAGTCTTAGTGTGTAAATCTGCTCGGTTGAAATAAAGGATACAGATTAGAAGTAAATGGACCTAATTACCTGCGAGGGTGCTGTCAATTTAGAAAAAGAAGGAAAGGAATCAAATATTTAGCAAGTCATAATGAAGGCAATATTCATACATAAAAACAGGCATTTACTTGCTCTACTGGCTCCTTTGGTGGGGGCTTCTTATCTGTAACAGCAGCACATGTATATTTGAGGCTCCAGAGGGAACAGAGAAACAATCATGTTGTCAGCTGTTGAATTGTGTTACCTAATTTCATTTTTCGCCAGCCTGGCTTCAGGTCTCTATTTACAGCCGGCCCTGAGGTTCAAAAACAGACAGCAGATAGAATATGTCAGACATCAGAGCACTGTGAGACTCTGCAATATGAAAAAAAAAATTGCAACAGTAATGTTACAAATAAAAGAAATATACATAATTACCATTAAATATATTTTTAGCTGGTAAAGTTTTCTTTTTAAGAACTAGATTGCACTAAATGATTTATCTGGCCACTAGACAAGGACAGAGCCTTTTAAATGCACCACTGAATTTATTTGATTAGCCACAACAACTTCATTGTATTAATTTATTTATTTTTATTAGCTGAACTTGTTCATTTTGGAAGTAAAATGATGCAGTTTTCAAACCTTTCAGAAAAAAACATCAACAAAAGGATTGGTCAGATGAGACAAAAGGAAACCTTTTTGGCCACTTGTGGGAAAACTAACATTGCCCATCACTGTAAAACCACTATTCCCACAGTGAAACACGGTGGTGACAGCGTCATGATGTGGGGAAACTTTTCTTTTTTAGCAATAACACTAAAGAGAGGAGATCGACACAGATAAATATAAAACAACGTGAGACTTTTCCACCTACTGTGGATCATCAATCGGCAAACATTTCCAACTTTAGAGGACGAATCGGGTCCTATCATTTCTGAGAAGATTTGCTGCTGTGATAAAAATGAAAAGTAGGTTTACCAAGTGTTGGTTAAGGAAGGCTAAATACAAATGAAGGGCACAATTCTCAGCTTGTTTTATTTCTTTTTTTTTAACAGTGTGTGGTTTTTCTCCTGAAAATTCTGCATCATGTATTTTTTTCAGTGATACAGTAATACATAGAATTTTGTGGATATAACACGATAAAGCATTAAAAAGCGCTCTGCATATCAATGTTTGAAACATTTATGGTATGTACCAGACATGTGCTAGTCTAGTTTACCTTTAATGGGGGGGATCTCTCTGGGTGGACATCTAGGAAGGGGTCGGCGCTGATTGATTGGAGGGCAGAATAAAAAATAGAGTAAAGGCTGTACAGTGGTGCTGCTGAACATTAAAAAAAGCAATGAAAAGAAGGCTTACTTTAGTGATTGATGGATGGCTCTGAGCAGATGATGGCCTTGGAAGAGTCCTGTCTTGAAAGCAAATCAAAATGTTATTTCCAGATTTATATCAGTAATGGCAGACATCATATTTGAGTTGTAGCTGTTATTAAAACTCTCTGAGTCCGCATCATTCCTGGGACTCAGTCTGTCCCAGTCCCAGTTGTGCACAAAAATAAAAGATCACACTCATTACCCACGGAGAGTGCTGCAAGTGTAAACATTTAAGAGACACATTGTGTATATGGTGGGAGACATGCAGCTGCGAAGCCTCTGGCTGCGATCCACGCAGGAGAGAAAAGTCTGTCTGTTTCTATTACACTCTCCTCCTCCTCGGCTCCTGGATAATTGTAATCTCCTGCAGTCTGACTCAGCCAACAGATGGCCCTGGAGACCCACTAGCAGATCATGCTCGCTCAGCATGAGCTCTCACTCTATTTAGCCTTGCTGTTTTTACTTTCTCCTTTTTCCAAAGCTTCATTTAGACTCGTTCTAATTATACGCACCAACTCAGCCACAGACTATGGGCTAAAAGCTGCTTTCAGTGGCTCTCTTGCCATGTATATCAGTGTTTTAAAAATGCACATGTGTACCACGGTGAGAGAATAAAGGAGGTTTAAAAAATAAATCAAATCATGTCTTTGAAGCGGTTCTGATGCTCTTGATGTGCTTTTTGTATCTTCTGGGATCAGTTGTGTTGAATTCATAGTATTTTGTTAAACCATGACCACATATATCACTGTACGGCAGCAGCAATGTGTCAAATGTACCTAACTGCTCCAATAATTATCAGCCAAATTCATCAAACAGTAATTGATGTCAGATTAAGGCAGCGGTTCCCAAACTTTTTTAGCTGTGCACCCTCTTCTCTGTCCCAACCAGGTTGACTCACCCCCAATTTCCCACACTTTAAAAAATAAAGTTTTTAAACAAATAAAACTTTTTTTTTTTATAGCCAACATGTTTCATCGCTCAAATATAAAAAAAAAATAATCATCATAACAGGTTTTGGAAATAAAATAACAAAATTTGAATAAAATTCAATAAAGTTACACACACCATCCCCAACAAGATCCCGTTCAACAGAAGTTTCTCTGCCCTTAAAATAATAAAAACTCACATTAAATCAACAACAGTAACAGATGATAGATTAATTCACCTGGGAATACTCAGTGTTGAGTTGAGGAGGCCATATTCCCTAAATATGGAAGACTTTGCAAAACATTTTGCTTCATCTCACTTGAACTGAAGAATTTTGCCTTTCTAATTGTTTCTGTAAACTTGGTGTTGTCAAATCACTGGGCAGGGGGTAAACTATAGTCAGTTTTAAAGGGCTGTATTCTTCTTCTTTTTGTGGTACACATTTAAATCTGCAGAACTGCTTGTCCTGCCTTGTTTTGATGGGTCCAAATTTACCTTCAGTTTTTTTTTTTTTACTACTAGATTAGATTAGTCCAAGGAGCACTTTGAGTACTTCTTCATTTCTATTTTTTCTGCATACTTCATTTGTAATCCATTTTACAGTACATAATTGTATGCATTTTGGAAAATAAACAACCTTAATATAATCAATATAGATTTTGTGGAAAATAGCTATTTTTTATGGTCTAATTAAACTCTAATATATTCACCTCCCACCCCCAAATAATACAGTGTCACCCTGTTTTAAAAGTTTCTGCTTCACTGTCCTGTGGATTTCAAGGTGCAGCAAGAGAAAGGAGAATACACTAAATCAGTCAAACCTCCACAGAAAACCTTAAATGTCTCTAAAGGTAGATTCATGATAATCTATCACCGTGTTTTCTCTCCTTGTTTATTTCCTGTACCTGCTTCTCGATCTAAATCTGACTCACAATTTACACCACAAATAGAAATTCTAAGTAGTTTAGTTCCATGAAGGAGAGCTGCTGACTACTACAATGCATGGAAGCATAACTTTCTCTATAATGCATCTTAAAATTAAGCATAGAAAAGCACCCTTCTAATTAAATACATTTCCTGTGAACAAAATTGTATTTGTTTTTTAAAGTTTGAATATGAACGTTTGCAAAGGAAATTTTTATTCACGCTTCTTTATTGTTTTAAAATTTTTCATCTGATGCATCCAGTAGTGGCACCACACTTTGGGAAACCCTGGTCTAAGGTGATGATTTGTAAGCTGTGGCAGGTTTACACAACATCCGCGTTAAATGAAGTCGTAACTTTGGATAAATTTTATAGCATCACCAAAATAGAACCCACATCAATTGTATGACATCATCAGAAAATCAAAAGAAATCAACCAGCTATTTAAATTTCAACTATAGAGCTATACAAGTGCTCATTAGACAGGAGAGATGTTCTGTGTCCCAGAGATCAGTGTATCTAACAACAGACTGTGCTTTAATCCATAAGCAACATAAAAAGCTGAATTACTCTAAAGTCAGAGAAAGGCTTTACTTGTCTGAAATATGCCCTGTGGTCTGAAAAAGTAAAATAAAATAAAAAGATTGACACATTTGTGAGACAGAGGAGAAGTTTGCAGCCCTGAGAAAACTATCCCAATATTTAGCATCATGTTGTGTGGCTGCTTTCTTGCAATAGGGACACATAACGTTTACCACAGAGATGGCATCATGAAGAAAAACATCCTCAAACAACATTTCAAAGGACAGGCCGTTTAGGTACTAATGGTTTACTAAAATGACATAGACCTGAAACATACTTCCAAAATTTCTATAGAGTTTATAATATTGGTTTGATAGAAGTTCTGTCAGGATGATTAGGTCAAAGATCTAGCAGACTATTGTGGAAACTCAATGAAGAAAAAACAGCTGAAGCCATGCAGTTTAAAAAGCATAAATTCTAAGGAACTGTATCTAAATCTGAATAATTTCGATAATACGGAATAACCATATTTAATGTGTGACATAGTTGCATCATTCTAGATTTGTTCTTTCAGCTGTATGTCTGCTCTTATTCATTTAGTTTGACACTCAATAATTCGTCACAGATTAGATTAGATGAGTTTTCCTTCTTCTACATTTACTAAATGTTTGTTCCTTCAATACATGTAAGCTGAAATAATGAAAAAAACATTATCTCTTCTATTCCATTTCAGAATAATATAAATATTTAAATATGCTTTTCTGCTATACTTAAAATCAGTTTAGCAGGAGGAATAAGATGCATGATTAGATCTGCCTGCAAACTATGAGTCCATTTTATTACCTGCATACATTCTGTCATCATTTATAGGCCTTGCAGGAAGTATGCACACGTTGTGCACCTCTTCATGGTCGTCCACCACATCATACTCTGGCTCCTTCATGGTGTTAAAGTCCCCACATGTCTGAGTTCTGTTCCTGCTTTCTTTGAAGCGGTCCTGCAAACAGAGAAATTCACCTTCGTTATTAAAAAGCATAGCAACCTGCTTTTTTAGTACGCTTGTATTGTTTTTTATATTTATGTCAAGGAATGAACAGCAAAGATATTCTGAGCTGTTTTTTTTTTTTTAGTCTAAATCTGCACTTGCTGAAAAGCACAGGAAGTTGTGAAGTGTTGCAACATAACATGCTCTTCCTCGAGGGATTTTTCTTTTTTAAGGTTTTGAGTCAGAGTGTATAATTTTAACATTGTGCAGTATTCTGCATCCCAACATTAAAAAATGAGCTTGCCCCTTCAGTGAGGAAAGCGATCATGTGTCCGAGTGTCGGATAACGGACAGCGATGGTATAGCTGGACAAATGGGTTTGATGTTCGCGACTACAACAGGCTGCAGAAACCACAAAGTTCTTCATCTCTATTCAGACTCACATGAAGAAACTGCAGAGACATCATAGAAAATTAGGTATTTTAAATCATGATGAGCCCAGCCTCCAAAATCATTTGAATAAACTGTTATTTTTTTGTTTAGGAACATTAATTTATGTATAAGAACATACAATTTTTTTTTATCACAGCTGCACTTGATTTTCAAATCATCTAGCAAATGACCTACAGTTGTAATAAGAGATTAATTACACTAAATAGGTTTAAACCTAAGATTTGATCCCTTTAACCAAAAAGCTGGTGTTTGATAGGTGAGATAAATATGAATAAAAAAACAGAATTCATCAATCCTTTTTTAATCCTTGTTCCCTTACAACCATTTATATCCTTCTTGATTATCATAATCAATATTTACATTGACATTAAAGCAGACAAATTATCTTATAAATGCTGATAAGCTTTATACATGTTTCCACAGAAAGCTTGACCATTTATCTTTAGTGACGAGCTTCACATTTTAAAACTTGGAAGGCCTCCGTACCAGCACCTTAATTTTTCCCTTTCTCAATTAATTCAATCTAGTTTAATTCATTTCAATTCATTTATAATCCCCAAAGGAAAATTCAGCTTCTGTAGAGCCCGTCTGGGGGATGCGTTGTCTTACTGCTGTAAAAGGCGCAGATTAGTTTAAAATATACAGCTTTAAACCAATTTTCAATTGTTAAGATTAACTTAGATGCGAAAATTCTTTCAATCTAGATCAGCCTGGACTATGAATAATTTCAGGTCTAAGTACAAAATGTATTTAAACATCATTGTATATAAAGTCTGAAATGATAAAATTCTGTAACTGCTGATATTAAAAGTCGGTTTACATACTACAAAAGGACTGAAAATGTAAATTAAAAGTAGAACCTTTCGGAAGAAAGAAAATAACTCACAATAATCTCACAAAGCTGCCAGAAATATAATCTAGTTAAATAATGTATATTAATAAACCTAAAATAATTTTTATCGCTATTAGGTTCCTATCAGAGACTAGCCTATATGGTCTTTTCCAAAAAAAACATTTGAGTATGTTATGTACTTAAATCATCAAATATCACTTTATTTTCCTTTTCTCCATGTAAATGTTTTTTCTTCTGAAGTTTTCCTCTGAATCCTGGAGAAAAATAGTTACCCAAATATTTTATACGTTCTAATTCTGGTTTTTTCCAGTTTACGTTGGATTGATACCCTGTTTAAGCAAAGAGATTATGATGTTTCTTCTTCTAGTCTAAACATGACATTTGTTTAGACTGGAGCTGCCAGTTTATTGCATAAAAAAACTCCACAGAGATTTTAGTTTGCAGTGTAAATGTCAAAAGGTTTCAACATTTCAATAGTTTCCCTTTATGGTGTTTTGTGCTGACGTCAGCGATCTCAGTGTTAAACTGTACAGTTTTCAACATTTTTTAACTGTTTGAAAAGTTGGAGGTTTGGGCAAGGTCAACTTTGAATCCCTTCTGACTGTAAAACAACATCAGCAGCTACATGAGGCTACATTATGGTATATAATGTGAACTGTAGCGTAATTAGCCTATATTGCAAGAGGTGTTTATTGTGGTTAAACTATTTCCTAGTTTAAATATGGTTAGGTCATTAAAAGACCCAGGTGTTGACCACTGAGGCACATTATAAATACTGTTTAGATACAGTAATTCCCTAAAGGTTTAAGTTGTACACCTCAGAACCAAGAGATTTGTTTGCTTGTATTTGGTTAATTAAGAAGCAGAAAAAAAAAAAAAAGATGAGCCTGATCCATACATTTTCTACCTTACAAGAAACAAAATGAGAGAAGATCAAGACCATATATACATGTGAGGAAAATAAGATTTTGTAATTTTGCATGTGTTTCATCAAGACAGATCTCTCTTGTAAAAGAGATTGTGGATCACAGCGAGACAAGCTGTATAATGTGGCATTGCTTTTTTGGTTGCTTTATAATACATGCAGAATCTTTGCTCTGTTTGTCTCAAAGTAACACACTTTAAACCGTAATAAACTTTTTGCATTTCATTTCTTAAAAAAAGTTAATGTTAACAAAACTAAACTAAACTGTGCACAAAAAACCCTTTTATTTCAGAGAAAAAAAATAGGGTAGAGCAAAGAGTCAGTGCCAGCTAATTGAACACTATATGTCCCTGGGACTGGGAATGTGAAGTTGATCATCTATCAAATACAAATTGGATGCAAAATAAGACAAAAATAATCTGAACCGACCATTTAAAGTGTCTGCTTTCAGCTTTTTAATAAACTAGTTTAGAGCAGAGACGTCCCTGTTCGGTGAGTCAGTCCTTATTTAAATGAATCTATATTTTTATATTCTCGATGTTGATCAGTGGAGTTTTACCACATTATGCTATTAACAGGTTTCACTGTTTTAGTCAAAATACATTGTAATATTTAGCAGCCTGAGCTAAACTGTCATGCTAATGCTACTCTTAGCCTTCTAATGCTGCATGCACAGTTATTCATGCATGCCATTTAAATTCAGACATTTGAATTTTTGAATTTTAAACCTCTCTGTCTCTCACTAACAAAACCTCAAAAATTCAACATGCCTGCCATGCCTGTTAATGGATGAAATATTTATACATATTTTAGAATGGATTTTTTATGGTTTTTTAATGACCTGCAAACAGGGATTTGAACATAATAAAACCCATCAGTTTATTTGTATCAGTAAAAATAAAGCTCATCATTGTTGGTAATGATCCCAATCTGGTCCATTTGTTTTCAGAACAATTATTTTTTTAAAGGTTTTGAGCTGGAAGAATTAGCTGGAATTCCAATTGTTTGAGAAGTCGGAGGTTCCTCGCCATGATTAGTTTAAAATGTGTTACGGCTGAAAAGCATATGAGCAGCAACAGGAAGCTGCAATAATGTATAAAATGGGAGCCAAAATGTAATTAGCCTTTACTTCTATAAAATTACACGTTAACCTTTTTTTTTTCAATTATGGAAAACTTCCAAATTAGCTCTAATGTTTTGTTAATAGCAAACACTGGTCTCTATACATTTAATGATCTCATGCCTATTTAAAATTTCTCATTGTGGGTTTTGGACACAAGATCAAACCAAAGAAAAAACTCTGACAAGATGATGTGGAAAAAAAAAGACCAAACTGTGAGGACTCTCAAACAGGGTGCAAAAAAAAAGAAGAAGAAAAAAAAAGATTCTGTCATTCTTTTCTTGCAGACTTGTCAGAACACATTTCTCAGCTCTTGAGAACTACAGGCTGGTCTGCAGGGGAAACCTGGGAGGCAGCTCGTCTCTCACTCAACCTGAGGTTTAAATTCTAGCCTAGAGTCTTTCTGCATGGAGTGTGTGTTCTCCATTCGTACTCCAGCTTCCTCCTACGGTCCCAATAATGCTAGTCAGACTAAACTGTCTCTCTAATTTATAATTAGCAGTGTGTACGGTTGGCCTTAGCAGAGTTTACCCCGTCACTTCCAATGGTTAAAGCCACATCTAAAGAGATTGCTGGGTTCTGCAGGGTATGAAGTAATACTAAAAAATACATGATAATGACTCATGGTGCAAAAAAAAAAATGCTTGACAGATAGAATCAAGATTAATATCTGTGTTATTACATATAATGTTCTTCTAAGACCAAATCAAGCTACCGCTATTTACATTTAATTTTTATTTCAGGTGCTTATTTAAGCAGCACATAACTACGAGAAATTCAAGCTTAATTGGAAGGAACTGCAACCCTATGTCCTCTAGGTATTGCAATACTTACTTTGAAGAATTGAATATAGTTTACACAACTACAAGCCAACCAAAACAACAGAATCTATAAATATACCACAGGAATGCAACACACAAACCAATCAGTCAACAATTTTAACAATGATCTGTTGTGGATTAGAATAATGGCTGTAATTTACAGTCAATGCGCTGAAAACAATGCCTATGGTTTCTGTGTTTTATATGCAGCTGATCTATAATTGTTAAAAGTTTCCATTGACTCTGAAAGTTCCTTGTAGGAACACTCATGTGGAACCAGTGTGTATTGGAGCACCATAATTCACCATTATAAGAGCAAACTCATGGCTGTTCTTTCTCTCGGTGGCTAACGAGGGAGAGAAACAGAAATGAAAAACATCATTAGTTGGGTGTTCTGCTAAAGAATGTGTCCTTCCAACTCGGTTTGTTCTTGGATTTGTCTTCCTCAGCAGTCAGACATGCAGAGGAATGAGGTCTTTAGAAGCGACACGCTGAGCTGTTTGTGGTTCCCTGCTGCTTTTGTCGGCGGTGCAGTCTATTGCGTTTCACATCTGGAGGACTCTGAATTAAATTCTTTAATTTGATGTTTTGACATTATCTACAGATTCAAACATCTATCATGTTCTGTTATCTACTCGTCCTAACTCGATTTCAATTCCTATAATATGTTGCAAAATAGGTTATTTTTCTGGTTGAATATATACATATTATATCTCTGAAACTATTAAAAGTAAAGATATATCCGTGAATATTTAACTATTGTCACAAGGTAGAAATTATAACAGAAATGTCTCGAGACAAAGCATACAAAGAGATCTTGTAAGCTTTGAAGGATGAAGCAATACCAGCATTTTTATTTCAGTTCAGTCTACTTTAGGTCTTTTTATGGCAAAGCTTTATCAGATAAAAACAGTTTCTCATGTCTTATATTCAGAAATGCATTACCTTTTTAAAGCTTCTTTTCAGTCTTGTGCATTTTTTTTTTTTTTACACAGGCTTTTCATCAAAAAAGAGCTAATTCCAAATCAGGTTTGAGTAAATTTGCATCTAGGATCCAATTAAACATTTCTTAAAATATCACAGTTTAGTTTAGTAACTAATCTTAATAAGAGTTGACATTATTTTCACATTTAGAAAACAACCTGGTAGTAATGTGAATGTTGATCTATTAAACTGCACATTAACCAGTTTTATGCTATGTTTACAGTTAAGCGGTCAATATAAATTGTTTTAAAACAGACCTTGGAGTCAAGCTGCATCTTGCAAATTCATAGAGATATTAATTTGTGCATAAAAAAAGTGATAAATATCATAACTTAAGTTATCTATACATGCCCCCTTTTACAGTAGGATATCCAATAATTTAATCCTGGGGTTAAAAAAGAATTCTGCCCATAAGGGAATACATCACATGTTTGTACTTTAAGACAGGGAATAATAAGGCCTTGTAGAACTGTCAGAGAAACAAGCAAACAAAGGTTTGGACCACAGTATCATTTAACAAATTAAAATAAGCGCACCGCTATCAAATATAAAAACATCCAAGTTAGCCAAAGCTTGAATTATCACATTAGTTTTAACCTGTTCCTAGGTATACTAAGATTATATAGATGTATGACTTTAAACCATAAATATCTTCCATCATACTTAAGGTTCTTATGGTTTAAAGGTGGACAGTTTAATATCGATGCAATACTGCCATTAATGCTGCCCCTACTTCTCTGCTGCTGTGCACTGCAGGCTGAAAGAGCAGTTCCCACATTTAAATCACAAATCTGGCTGTTTGGAAGTATTTCTGGCTCAGAATGTTGGAATTCACACCTGTGCAAACTAAAACAGGAATTGTATTATATACAAAAAAAAAAAAAAAAAATAGACCTACTTTTAATACTCAAACTTTTTAACTGTCATTCATTTTAATCCATTATTTATCCTTTTAATAATTCTATATAATTTCATACACTGGAACTGATGTACATAGTTTTCTTTCTTTATTTACCATATATAAAATAGCTGTTTGTTATTGATTTTGAATTATGTTTCACTGATTAAGGGTCTTAATGAAAATGCTTTTTTTGCAGCATTTTGCATTAAACATTTATTTATGCAATGCTGTCTAAATAAAGGCTAACTTACTGATGTCTGTAAGGCAGCAGGCTGGATATTAAAGCCCGTAGCTTGACTCACCAACCACCTACCTAATATCAGTTTATAACACCTATGTTAGTCTATAAATACTGGGATAGCAAATGTGAATAGGCAGATGTGAAAGTTAAAAATAACATCAAAGAAGTGCTAAAAATATATTTTTTTAATAACTGCATTGACACTACCTTAGCAGCAGAATGAATTATTTCCTTTTCTGGGTTAAATTAAAGCTATGGAGTTATTTTATATTTTAAACAAAGTTTTTTGGGATATTTTTAGTTTATCATACAGGCAGAAGGTTAAAGTTGAAAAATGCAAATGGGAATGCTGTAAATTAATTCTTGTCAGATGGCTTTGATCAGATGGCTTTGACTAGAAGTAGTTTTTTTGGTCAAACATTTTAAATTTCTTGTCCTTTTAAAGCTGTTATCATGACATAAAAGAAGTACAGTAGGTGCCAGCTTTTAAATTTACTTAGCTGTGTTTGCTTCAAACATTAAGAAGAAAAGGAAAGCAACCGTGAGAATGGATGCTAGGACAAGTTACAAAAAATAAAAAATTAAATAAATACCAGCATTTAAAGGCCACAAGCTCATATCTCTAAAGGAAAACTCTTTCTCAGTAGTGTTGGTATGGGATTTGGCAGTCAGTTACAGCACTCAGTGGGGCTGCCTGGCTTCTTTACAGAGCTTACTCAGACATGGAGAGCGGGGTGATAGGAGGTGTATGGAAAAAAAGGAGGGATTATATGAAAGGAGTTAGCATCTAAGGCTGAGCAGTTACTCTGGTAAAATGAACTCTGACCTCATGGAAAATGGTGCAGAGGATTTTGCAGGATCTCAACCACCTGACCTCCTAGGGATTCACGACCTAGCTTTGCTTTATGCACCAAGAAATCATTCACTGAAGAGAGGCAGTAAAGGTTTAGTCTGTGGAGAATTTATATTAACAAGACTGAATGAGGATGCACTGTGGGTAGAAGGCGTATTGATTATGCTCTGCTGGTGTTACACACATGTTTATATATTAGAAATCCACCGTGAGGCCCAGATTTATTCAAACCTATGGCAGATTTAAGGTTTAATGCAACCTTTTAAAATGGATGAACTTCTTTTATTGTGACTGGATGATATAATTACATTTTGGAGTGTCCTGACTTAAATCTGATGGAGGATCTCTTTAGGGAGCTAAAGGTTACGGTGATGGCAAGAAACAGGATTAAAGAACAGCATGATAACTACTTTAACATCCATACATTGCTTTATTATTTCTTTTTAAATGTCCATTTCATTTGTGATGAAAAAGCTTCTTGGTTCATAAAAAGTCTTTAAAAATACAAATCTATGTATGACTGACTATAAAATAAACTACTTTAGCCAAGCTGCAAAGAAATATTCATTAATAATGGAAATGATTTTAATAAATACATTTGAACAAACCATATTTTCCCCTTTTTGTATAACTGTATGTCCATTTGAAATAAAAACTTACTGTCAGTTCGTCTTTTTAAATCTCTAATTCTTTTAGAGATCCAAACTCAAATTAATTATAAATAAAATCCAGTGTGCCTACCCTTTCTGAAGGCTTGAACAAACAGCACACCTGTGTCAGCGGGTATCCAGTAAACTCTGCGTCTCTGGTTTGTATTCGGTTACAGAAATAAAAAGTCTGCAGTTTTTCTTCCTCTCCTGTACAACGAACAGCAACACTCGAGTGGCTTCAAGTGTTTCTGAGAGCCGAGCAGCCCACTGCAACCTAAAATGACTTCCTGTGTGGTGGCTTACTGCCCTATAACTAAAGGTCTGTTTAAAACAATGTAGGAGGCTTTGTCCTCTGCGTATGTGATCTGATGGTGATGATCTTAATAAGAAAAAATAATGTCTTTGAACAGAATGAACAAAATATTTTTCAGAAAACTTCAGTCTGCCTTGTAAAGAGTCAGTAATGCTTCCTTGCTTTGGTTTTTGACATCTGCCTTCTTTATGCCAGGCAGTATTTTTACCTTACAAAGAAAAATCTATTATTAATCTGAACATGGCTTCTTTTAATCAGAGTTGCAGCTGTCTGTCACAGCATCAGGTGTTTCTGTTGAGGTGACATTTCAGCTTCTGCTCTATCGGATAGAAAAAGGATGCAGCGTGACATTTACTCTTCCAGTTGCCATCTGCTTTTATTTCTGCATCAAACAAAAAGCTGAACCCCAATTTGAATGTGTGACGACTTTTAATTAAAGCTTAACCTTTCAAAACTCTGTTGGTCTTTAGTGCGATCATTTCATTTCCAAGAAGAAACACCAAGAGATGTTGTAAACGGCTCCAAAGAGGTTTCACCTAAGAGCACATTGACAGATTTATCATAAATAAACATTACACTGTAACACCTCTGAAAAGGCATCATATAGAGATGTCTTTTTACCCCAAAAGGGAACTGGCTGTTAAGTAGAGCTCAAAAACAGACAAATCATTTAGAGTTGTTTTCTGAGGATTTCCTTGACAGCTGTGAAACTGTTTTATCTGGCTATCTGCAAAAAAAAAAAAAAAAGGCCAACAGTAGTGATGAAGGGGCAAACATTAAATCCTTACTTTAAGGTAAAACCGGGTGAAAAATATAGCTGTTTAAAAGATATAATTTTTTTTAACTGTATCCACTATTTGTCCATACCTTCTCCCACTTGCAGCGTCAAATGGGGGGTAGCGCCCCGGTTTGTTAACATTTCCTGGTCATTTCACAGAGACAAACAGGACAACAACAGCCATGTAAACACATGTAGACAAAACCTCTTTGGGGATAAAGGACAAACTTCTTGGTCCAATAACGGGTCCAGTCCAGACAAAGTGGCCATGAAACCAATTACATTTGAAGCTTTCTCTTAACTTAAAGGACTCTTTTACTGCTTGCACTGATCCTGAGTCACCCATTTAAATAAAATAAAATTTAGTTTGTCAATGAAGCATTGTTACATTTTCAAAGCATTTTCCCTGAAAACTTCATTACAGATAGATTTAGTTCATAATGCCAGCTAACAAAGCACTCAGCATCTAAGGAAACCACTTTAGCGGCATTGCATTGCTGATACCAAACAGGAAATACTACCCAAACTAAGAAAGTAGAGCACATCCCCCCAGTCCTAATCCACTGGCTCCCCATATCTAAGAGAATAGACTTAAATAAAATACTTCAGTTAGGCTATACTGGGCAGTCTTTCCAAAGTGTAACCTTGTGATACTACAGTCTTGTGCTGGGTTGGAATCCTAAAGTCCTTTTGTGTGGTGTTTGTGTGTTATCCCAGTGCAGGCGTGAGTTCTCTCTAGGTACCCTGCCTTAAATTAAATTCAATTCAATTGAGTTTATTTATATAGCGCCAATTCACAACACATGTCAACTTAAGGCATTTTACAGTTCACCAAATCATACAGTCAAATTGATTAAGTTTTCTATCTAAGGAAAACCTTTTGATTGCATCGTTTCATTGCCTCGAATGCAATCCCTCACACTAAGCATGCTTGTAGCGACAGTGGAGAGGAAAATCTCCCTTTTAACAGATAGAAACCTCCAGCAGAACCAGGTCCAGTGTGAGCGGCCATCTGCTGAGGCCGACTGGGGTTCAAGGAGACAGAAGCAGAGATACAAAAAGCAGCTGTAAAAGGCGGCCCGTCCAGGAAACACACAGCCAGGCAGACGAGCTCCGAGCCACCTCCCATGTCGGAGGATGAAGAGAGCACATCCAGGCAGTCTCGGTCAGAAAAGCAGGACTACACTGGAAAACAGGCTGATCTCGAACATCTATAGTCAAAGGTGTTGAAGGCAGCAGCACAGTTGATATTTCTCTCCAGGAACAGACGAGGTGAAGTTACTATGAGAAAATAAATAATAATAAATAAATAAAACAGAGTGCGAGTAGCTTTGTTATAGACTTCATCTAGACCAGAGATCAACAAAATCTATAGAATTATTTCTGCTGTATTGATTTTCTTTACACCTCCCAACCGGGCAGAGCTTATCACTTTATTGTAAATACCACAGAAAAAAGATCTTTTTCTATGATTCAATAAAGTAACAGAAATTTTATTTCTAATTTCAGATTTTAGAATAAAGAAAGAAATGTAACTTTTACAGAAATAGAGTAAATGCATTTTCCTTAATTTGTTATGTATGGAAGATAAAAAAACAAAACTGAGGCTGATTTATTTTCTCTAGCCTCGTTCTGTCATTGAATTATGATCCAAAGTTTGCTTAAGGATACATGAAAACTGCAAGAATGTCCTATTTTTATCAGCTTTATATTAAAAAAACATATGATAATATTTAAAGGCTTGTTAAAAACCCCTTTCAAGACTCTTTAGAACCAACAAAATTTGAAGAGATTATGGACCCTCAAATTTTAAAGGGGTCATAGAACGCAAAACCGAGTTCCATTGTCATAGATGAATAATGATAGTTCAGTGGGTGAAATGGACATAGAGAGAAGTTAAACCTCATCAACACATCCTTTCCCTGCAAATCTCACAATTCTAAACTTTCACCATAAAATGGGCAAATTCAAACGAAGTCCCAAATTGACATCAATTCGGGGATGTTGCCTAATTTGGTTCTGGCCTGTACTTTTGTCACGCCCTGAAATTGACAGACAGAACAGCCCAACAGACATAGAACATAGATATAGGTAGACACCAGTTTAGCCGTTTAGCCTACAATTGGGGTTTCGTTTAGAAGAATTAAAAAGCAGAAAGTTTCTCTATTGCAGAAAGTTTCTCTATTGAAAATGAGCCAGAACCATAGGCGTAAATGCAGTGTTCAAGGATGCATGGAGAAAGGGGACATTTTTCATATTCTTCCCAAGGATCTGAAGACTCGACAAGCATGGATTATTTTTGTCCATCAGAGGATCCCTGCAAAATTTTATCCTCAGATGTTCATGTGCTCTAAGCATTTTACCAAAGACAGCTTTCAGAATCTTAGACATTTCAAAGCAGGGTTTGCTAAACTTCTTTTACTGAAACGAGGGGCTGTTCCGACCGTAAGTCCATCACAAACGCAAGCTGTACTGTAAGTATAATTCTGTCACTAAGCTGTTGATAGCAACGTTGGCATATATATGGTGACCAGATTTGGGTTTCTGAAAATTAGGCTGCTGGGTCGCTGACTGGAATGGACCGGGCATCCGAACTGAGCCATCAGCTCCGGGGCTTGTCCGAACCTGACCTGGTGACGGTATGCTGTCACGGGGGCTGTCATTGTCCAAGCTACCGTAGCCCCAGAGCTTACCGCCCGGTTATGCTGAATTCGATTAAAAAATATCGAAACATATTTTTAGGTATGAAAAGTAGGACATGTCTGGGAAAAAGAGGATGTCTGGTCACCCTACCATATCAACAGTTTGATGTTTCAGTGAGTGAGTGCTTGTTGCTATGATGCTTCTTTGCTCAGCAGCTTCGCTCTTTGTAAACCAACCAATCAGTGCACAGCTAGTCTAAATATTCATGAGCATAGCATAAAATTAAGAAAACCTGTCGTTTCATTCTGGGGCTTTTAACCATGCTTGCATTAGGGCTCATAGAACAGCAAATGCCATTTTCAGCCCAACTAATGTTACACACTCTATTCAGAGACCTTGAGGACCAGCACCAAATACCCTATAGAATCATTCTATGACCCCTTTAAAAAAGGATTTAGAAGGAGGTTGTAGACCTAATGACCTGCATGACATAGTTTCTGAGCTTTGATTTTTTGAGTTTGAATTACAACTGCTACTTTAGGGCCCTTTAAACATGCTGTAGTTAATTTCCTCTTGACAATACATTGATAAGTTTAGAACATATAAATGTATTTAAATTATTTGTGAAAAATATGTTTTTGATTTTTCTGTATTTTTGCCTCCTTTCTTTTCTCTATATGTGGATATGTTGTTGCAAAAACTAGATGGATTTTATTCTGACTTCTGGTAAAGCAAACCCCAGCACTGCAAGGCCTAATGATACCAATGAAACTAATGATACTAATGAAAACAACCATACAGTAAAAGGGTAGAATTTAGTTGGATGCTGCTACACTTATAGTTAAAACTGGCAAGTAAACAAAGTTATTTTGGGTTTACTTGACAATTTTAGAACTATTTTAGACCACTTCTTGCCAGCAACAATTTTATTGCCTGTCTGCTTTTACTAGACTAATTGTATGCAGAATCATCTTCCTGTCTGCAGTGGGTGTGAGGCTGGGGCCCCTTTCCAAAAAGCGATACAGCACTAGCGCACAAGGTCAGCCTCTCTCCTGTGGTTTCATCTGCAATGGTATAGCCTGACTTCCTGTGAAAGATTATAATCGCACATCTCATATTCTCACTGATGCTTATCTTTTGAGCTGCTAACGCCAACTCCCCAAACATCTTCACATCTCGGCCCCTGGTGACAGCTCCATCGGCTAGCCAATCTGGCAGGTCATTCTGTGTCCTCAACCTCCCACCACCCCCCTCAGGCTCATCCTCATCCCAACAGCCAAAAAAAATGAGCCTGCAGTGTCCTGGACCTGTCAGGAAGAAATAGGATCCAGAGTCTCACTTTGGGGGATTAGCAACACCGAAATGTAAAGTGGGTGAAATGAACTTGCCGTTGATTTCTTTGAGCATCAGTTCAAAGAAATTGGGTTAAATGAAAAGATTTCAGACCCCAGCTCGGCTGGAAACATACATCCAATGGCGGTGG